ATCTCTTCATGATATGTCCTGCCCCAAAGAGCTTCTCTCCTGAAAGACAGGACCCCCAGTGGTCCTGGCAAATGCAGATACTGTGGGGAAGGATGAGGCACTGTGATGCAGCACAGTTTGTGGCTCAGTTTGTAGGCAACTAGTTGCAGAAACTGAACTAATTGCAGACCCTTGGGATTTGTTCGTAAGAGAACAAGCACATTCCCCCTTCTTGTTATTGAGCATCAAGTGCCTTATGAGAGAGGGATTTGGGGAAAAGACAATGGGAAGATATCTAGCACAAAATGATTAGCCAGAATGTATTGTTAATAAGCTGCTTATTCATATAATTGGAAATTATTTGCAGCCAGGGTGTCAGTACAGTCTTTCTGCACTGCTCTGGTGGAGCGAGAGAGGAAGGTACTGGCCCAGGGGAGACCACCCCATGAGCACATCTGCTGGCAGTGAGGAGGCAGAGGAATTTATTGACATTCTACTTCTTTACTGTCACTGCCTTGAAGGGCAGAGAAGGGCACAGGGATTTCAAGGGGAGGCAGATGGGAACCTGCCAAGCCCCACTAACTAGAGGCACATTTCCCAGCACAGGGTGTCTGGGGAGCAGAAGGGAAGGACAGTCCTTCTCCAGATCCTTACAACAGCTAAAACAAGAGTAAGGCAAAGAAAGTGTGGAGTGAAGACAGAGAAGACCTGCCCTGCCTGGACTTCCCAAAGCAGCTACTTGAGGCAGAGCCAGCTGTGGAAGAGCCATGAGTGAGTCCCCCTAAGAGGTGTGACAGCTAAGAGAGACCTTGGCTATGGCTTAGATACACACTTTGTGGTTTGATGATTGAACTGGAGGTTCCCACAGGTGGATTTGCTCACCTGGAGGAGGGCTGGCTTTGACCTCATTTCCAGGAGGCAGAATTCCTTGTGGAGGCCAAGGGAAAGGCAGAGAAAGCTCCAGAAGCCATTCCCCATTCCCTCTGTCAGCTCTGCCCAGCAGGTGCACAAATACAGGGATGTGCCACCACACAGCCCCATCTCTTTCTCCTTCCCTCACCTATGCTGTGGTTGAGCCCAGGCCCATGAATACTGGAGTTCAGAATCAGCCCCACAGAGGTTTATGTGCCTCTAAACTGAAACATTTCTCCATTTTTCTGACTCCAAGGGCAGGCTGATTTTAACAATGTTGCTGGTGTTGGTGCAATGGGGTAAAGAAAACAGCTTCTCCTTGCATTCTGCCTAATGTTTCTCTGTCTCCTGAACCAGCCAAGCTCAGTTGATATGAACAACCATTCAAGGATGAATTTAATTGTAAAACAGCAGGGAAGGATTCCTGTGCCAAGCCAAGTGGTAAGCCACTAAGCTCAGCCACTTCCTCCAGCAGTACCAGTGTGGGATAGGAGGGTTCAGAGAGAAGACATCTAGTAATCCTTTGATCTGCCTTCAGCACTGTCCTTCCCTTTGGCTCCAAGACAGGCATGGAGCCAAGAGTCCTCCTGCTCTTCTGTTATTCTGGTAACAGAAGGGGTGAGGTGACAGCAGAGGCAAGAGGAGGTCGGGTACAGTATTTCTCCTGAATTTGTCTAAGGTCCTGCACAATGCATAATATTCCAACATTAGGTGAAGAATTTTCTGAAAGTTTCCACCATCAAAGCAAATTTCTTTTCACATGGAGAAATTCTGCTGGGAACGAAGATGGGCCAGCTCTGGTTCCTATTAGCCAAGTCACTCTGGGCACGGTTTTCTCTTCAAAATCAGGTATAAGTGTGTTATACAATCCACACCATCCCTGGCACTGCCTAGCCCAGCTTCACCCTTCACTGAAAGGACCATGTGCTCACTGGCTCAAGGAGCAACTGTCCAGGCAGCGATTCTTTCTTTGCATGTGCAATATTTAACAGAAATTACATCTACTTCAGGTCAGGCTAAATCTGTGTGAAGGTTGGAAGGCCTTAAAGCATTTGCTTTGTGGCTGTTAAATGCCTCTTAGGAGTTAAATATTAAGATGCAGAATCCCAGGTACTGAGGCACACCTGAGCACTGCACCTTTGATCCAGCACAAAAAGCAACTCTGAGGGAAAGGATCCTTCTGAAAGCCTTCGTCAAGGAATAGGAGAGTCTTTAGGAGGCAGCAAGGAAGCAAATATACAAAAAAGAGTTGCTAATAATTTTGGAACTGGGTCCATCCAAGTGGCAGCAGTGTAATACTATTTCAGCAGAACCCAGGAACAAATAGCACAGATTTACTATCACTCACTGACATTGTCTTCTGTTTCCTTACCAAACCTTTTATATCCTCAGTCTTTTGAAGCCTCTGCAGAGCCAGCTCAGGCCTGTTAACTATTCCATAGAGAGAGTATAATACCATATGTATTTGTGCTCACTGTATCTCTAGACACAAAGCTTGAATAGGTATGAAAAGATCAGTCCCTGAGCACAGTATTAAGCTGTAACCAAAGCTGGAGAATCTTCTCATCTTTTGACAACCACCATTTCCTTCCTGATCCCTTCCTTTCTCTTGAATACACACACTGCACCCACCAACCATCATAAGAACTTGTGCAGAACTACAGTGGAGCTGCAACTGAGCCACACAGAACAATTTCAGGTTTTAAAGGGCTGTTTCTGACTCGTATCAAGCAGGACAGGCTAAAACCAAGAAAGGCCCCAACACTGCAACACAAAGAGCAGTTCTACACCAGATCTCCACACTTAGGAAGGAATCTTTGGTTGAGAAAACTATACTTCATTGCAAATTTGTGATTTTCAGCCCAATAATATATTTGCTTTCTGTGAAAGATCAATTTTTTTACTTAAAGCAAATTTGTGTTAACCTTTACAATATAGTAAAACATGGATTTGTAGTAACAGAAAGAGCCAATTTTCCTATTAGCAAGGCAGAGGGATATTGATATATAACATTCCTTCTCTCTCAGTTCAGATAAATACTGCCAAGTTTGAAAACATGGCTAGGACCTCCCTGTGTGACACATCACAGCCTATTGAACAGGGAAATACTTGTAATTCAGCACTGAAACAACAGCATTCCCAGAGCTTTATCCTCTCACACAGTTGATGGCACTGCATGGAGCACGGACCAACCTGTGCCATGAGAAACCCCAGAGAACTGGCTTCTGCAAGTGCTCTGCTCTGTGCTCTCTTAGAGTTCTTCTCCCTACCCATGCTCTGTCTTATTTACTGCAAGGTTTGTACTGATAAACAGGCAGGCAGCACAAAAATAACAGTTACACATGTGACAAATAAGCATGAAACATGGGGGAAAAATATGAATGTTCCCCACACTTCCCTTCTCCCTAACCTTCTCCCTAACCTACTAGATCACACACTCCCCAAACCAAGAATTAAAAAAGAAAAAAGCTATCAGAATTTGTTACATTAGTTTTTTGGGTTTGGTTTTTTTTGTGTGTGTGTGTCTGTTTTGCTTGGTTTGGGTTTTTTTGTATTTCTGTGAAAAAGAACAAGTTATTTCATGGCTTACTTCTTTTTGTTTTTCTTCAAACCACAACTTGAGATAAGGCAGCCTAAGATTCACTCAGCCACTCCTAGCTTGCTAGATCCTTCCCCAAAGTCTGAAAAACAGAACAACTTCTTCAACCAGAGATTTTATACTGATAATGGGCTGAAGCTGCTCAGCTGTGAACACTGATAAGTTTCTCCCAGCTCTGTTGTGAAAGTGGTAACAGGAGAGATGGAGCACTTATATTTTAAAATTGTTGCTACACCTAAATCTAGCAGCTTCTTCCTGTTAGAACTTGGGACAGTGTGGGAAAACAAGTGGTTGTGGGAGAGGCAGAGAGAGCAGGCAGTGTGTGAGATACACAGGACTGAGGTCCCAGCTGAAGCCAGGATCTGGATTTCAGCTGTGAAGATTTTATACCATATTGGGTGTCTCTGGGAGGTGTGTCATCATGGCTCTTAGCCGGAATGTTACTGTGGTTCCCATATTCTGCAGTGTTTTGAAGTAGAGCTGAAGTGTCCCTCTGTTGTATGTCTCGAGAAACTCCACAAATACAATGCCACAAGTAAAGCCTTTTGCTGAGGATGCTGATTCAGATAAATGTACTATCTTGGTTGGTACCAATTACTAACTTTCAGCACATCAAAGAAAGGTCCATTCTGAGAAGAGCACTATACTTTATAACATCCAGGAGACTATATGTAGCACAACACAGATGCTGCAAGTTGAAGACTTACGAGTGTACTGGTCTGCACATTGTACCTATCCTCATTTATCACAAATAATTGAGATTTAATTCTCTGTTTCCAAGAGTGAGTATTTCTTTTTAAGGAAAATGTGAGTCAGTCATGTCAGAAGATGCTTTGAATGGATTCTCTCATGATTTCCAATGTTTATCCTATACTAAAAATCACTTCAGTTGTACCTGTGGAAACACTCCTGTGAAATGGGAAAAAGCCAAACACTTCTGGTCTGCATTCTCCAGCTGGGCACTCTGGGGACAGACACCACGAGGCACAAGGGGACTGGCTGTGGTGGTGGAGGAGATCAGGGACCCCAAACAGTATGGCCCTTGAGAGGGTCCACTCAGACACAGCCCTGGACTCACTGGCACCCTCCCTGGCTTTGAGGACACCTTACAGCCAGGGGCTGGGCAGAGAACATCTTGGGAGCCCAGAGAGAAGGGCTAGACCAGAGCAAAGGACCTGCTCCATCTCCATGGCAAGGGACAGCCATGGAGTGTTCCCCTGCCACTGGTGTGTGCAGAGCAGCAAAGGGCCAGGGGAGAGCAGCAAAGGGCCTTTGCCATCAGGACGGGCTGAGCTCCGCTCTCAGCCACTTCCCCAGATCCCCCCTTAAATTATCATACTATCAGTCTTGTTGCAAAACAGGGTGAAGGGTTTCCGTAGGAAAGCAAGACCTCAGGCACTTCCCCCAGCAGCGTCACCGCGATGCGGAAGGGCTGGCAAGGCAGGCGCTTGGGAACAGGATGCGCGGGGCAGCCCCCAGCAATGCCCCTGCCCTGGGCCTGAGGACGGCCATGGAGCTGAGAGTCCTCCTGCAGCTTCTGCTCTGCTTCCCAGGTAAGAGGAGGGCTGGCAATGCCTCGGGCTTCCCACACGCCCAGGGGCACTGGGACACCCTTCCCCAGCTCCCACTGCCTGTGGAGCTGCACGGTGGGGAGGATCCCACACTGGCAGGACTCTGAGCTGAGCAACTCACAGCAGGGATGCAGAGGGAAGGGGCAGCCCCAGCTCCCACCAGTGCTCTGTTGAGGCTTGAAGGTCCAACCCTTTCCCTCACACACATCTGATATTACAGGTCTCCATGCTCAAACAACCAATGATGTGGAAACCCAACCAGAAGGAAGCACTTTCTTCCTGCAGTGTCCTTACACAGCACAGGTTCGCCAGAACTGGAAAGCCTGGTGCCGCCTCATAGGTGGACAGTGTGAGATCGTAGTGGAGACGACCAATCCAACACAAGACTGGTACCCAAAAAAGGCCACAAAAGGGAAAGTTACAATAGAGGACAACCCCATACTTAGGATGGTGTTCATCAGCATGTCTAATCTCCAGGCAGAAGACTCGGGCACATACTGCTGTGCTTACCTAAGCCAAGGTTCTGGGTATCAACCACTAAAGATGATCACGCTCCAGGTTTACAAAGGTGAGTACCATTTCCCCACACAACATCTAGCCCCTCTTTCTTCCCCCTGTCCCCTGCCCTGACTGACGGGCTGCCCATGAGGGAGTTGCCCAGGGCAGAGTTTGTCCCAGGTCTCCAGAGGAGGCCAAAGGACTGATGCCTGTGTGCCCATCACTCGTGGGTCAGTGACCACATTTGCTGTTTGGCAGAGGTGCAGAAGGACGAGCTGGACAGTCTCTCTGTGCAGATCAAATACAACAACTTCGTGCACTCCATGGATACAATATCCTGGTGTCGAAGAGAAGGTGAGACTGTGTGTGTTCCCTTGGTGAGAAGTCAGCTCTATAAAATACGGGGTAACAACAAACCCATGGAAGACAGAGTCTCGATCCAGGATGACACCTGGGAAAGGACTGTCACCATCACCATGCAGAAGCTGCAGGCCCAAGACACTGGTGTCTACTGGTTTGCACACTACAGAGGCTCTCATTACTTCACAAACCTGGAGGTCAGGCTGTCTGTGTCCAAGAGTAAGTACCTACTGGCAGCCAAGGGTGGATGTGGGCAGATTTCAGTTCCACCTCCCCTGCTTGCTTTCCCTCCCCTCCTGCTCCACAGCACCAGGAGCCCAGCACTGCCTCCCCACAGCCACTGCCACGTCTCCCTGTCTGTCCCTCTCTGGCAGACACATGGTGGCTGCCCCTTGGGCCTGTGGGGACAAGGCTCAGGCCTGGCCCTTCTTGCTCTGTCTGCTCCCAGCAGAGGGACACCTGGGAATGTTCCCATGAGCTCCCACAGATCTGGACACTCTTCACAACTGCTTCCCACATGGCTGACCCCGGGGCTCCAGGGACACCTTCCCCAGCTCAGGACCCAGCTGGCCCACCCTGCTGGAGACCTCCCCCAATTGCTCTGGGCTCACAGCTGACACCCCTCCCTGGTCCTTGGCTACTAAACCCTCTGGGCTGAGCGCCTGGAGCATGTGGCCCCTGGGGGAACCAGAGGAAGAGGACAGGTCCCCACCCAATTTGTGACTCACCTCTGCACAAGTAATCTGGGTAATCTGCTCCCATGTCTGGAGGTAGATGGACATCCAGGGAGCATTCAGCCCACTGCGCACATTCCAGTGAAGGGGAAGGGCTGCCACTGTGCCAGCTTTGGGATCTCACCAAACATGTCTGGTGTTTTCCAGGGACACAACATTACACAGCCAAGGAGTTGGGCAATGTCTCTGTTCAGTGTCCATACAGCGCCCCCTACTATGGGGCTCTGAGCAAAGCCTGGTGCAAAGTGGGAGACAGGGAAACATGCACCACACTGGTCTCCACGGATTCAAGGCCCTCAGAGAATCGCCAGAAAGGCGAGCATGACAGAGTCATGATCTGGGATGACACCCAGCAGGGGATTGTCACCATCACAATGGAGGAGCTGCAGGCACAGGACTCTGGCATGTACTGGTGTGTGCTCAATGATTCACGTCGTGTTTTCCGAATGGTAGAAGTTACACTCAGTGTTTTGGAGGGTGAGTACTGAA